GGGTCAGGAGAGGTCTGCCATACTATGTGGGTCACTCCAGTGCTGGGAATAGAATTTATGCTACAGCGGCTACTATAGCTTATAGTGCTGTGCTTTAACTGGTTGTGCCACCAGGGAGAGCCAATTCTACTATTTTTTTAGCTTTGTTTATATTTGGAGTTTGTGGAAACAGAAAGAGGAAATGTGTTACAAATTCACTTGAATAGCATTTCCTGGTCCCTTACTTGTAGAGCAGACACACAGAAATGTTTCCTATTCTTTGCTATCTGCTGCTTTAAAACCTGGATGGGGTTCTATATTCTCGTAGAGGAATACTTTCATGAACTTTTAAGTTCAGTAATATTTAAATAAAAATGTATCATAAAACTCTAATTCTGCCACTTAACAAATTGTCTTCTTGGGCAAGATTTTTGACTTACGTAAGCCTCAGTTCCTACACATACACATGAGTATGTAATGGTATCTGGCTTACATATAGCTGTAGCATTTAAAGTGTTGACTACATGTAAAAATGCTTTGCATAGCACATGGCAGAAAGTACTCAAGAGAAATTCCTGTTATTAATAAATACTTATTGACATGTATAATTAAGTTATAGCTGATGATAAATAGGCTGTAAAGATTGAGAAATAGGTAGTTTATGATCAAGTTGAATGCTAGGTATTTTGGATATGAATTTAAACTCACAGAAACATCTTGAAAAAAAGTCTTTGTTTTTATTTACTTTTAAAAAAAGATTAATTTACTTATGCAGTGGGTGGGTCAGGAGAGGTCTGCTGCGCCTTGTGGGCCGCCTCCTCGGCCTGGAATTGAACTGCTGCTGCAGTGGCTGTGGATGCTTCAGAGTGCTGTGCTTTTAGCATGTTCTACCACAGGGAAGCCTTGTTTTGCTTTTAAATAAAAATTCAGCCATTATAGTAAAACAAATACTAAGAAGATGATGAACAAATTGGATAAAACAAGCTTGTAATCTAAATATACCATAGAAAAGACACTTCCCTCCATGTTGTAAATTCTGCCTTGATCTACTTGGCTTCCTAACCTTGTTGACTGTGGAAATGATATAATACTTGCTATCTACATATATTTTATGCATTCATGACATACTTAACTTTTCTTAATCTTTCTCCGTATTTCTTTAAAAATCATCACAAATTGCCCAAAAAAGCTTGCAATATAGTTAGGAAAAAATCTATATAAATGACCTGCACAATTCATATTTTTGTTGTTAAAGGTTCAGCTATAATTTCCCTCCTACCTCAGATGCCTGGGAGATCTCTTTTTGTTGCTGTCTTTTTTCTGCAATCCTCCAACTTTGTTTCATTGGTGTTAGCCTGACCTTGCGGGTGGGGAGACAAATTGAGTCTATGGCTGCTAAGACTGTTCTGCGGCATCATTTCTTAGCATAATCTTGAAAAAAGCAAATCTCTGAACCTTTGTTTCTTTAGTTTTTATTTATGTTTTAAGTTAATCTTTTAATTATGTACTTTTCTGACATTAAATTTATTTATTTATTTTCAAGATTTATTGTGCATACAGAACTGGGGCAGAGGCTCAGGGGCTGTGAGAGGATTCACCAGAGACAGAGTGGGAAGCAGAACAGGCAGATCAA